TCTAGAGCCTCAGACTCCTTTCTGTAAAATGAATTAATACACCCAATATTGCAAGGCTGCTGAAAAGGTCAAATGAAAATGTATGTAAAATGTCTAAAACAGAGTGGTTGGCACATAGCAAATATTTGACAAACATTAGGTCTCTTCTGTAATGTGGACAGATAATTTCTTAATCTTTTTTTTTTTTTAAGATTTTATTTATTTATTTGACAGAGAGACAGTGAGAGAGGGAACACAAGCAGGGGGAGTGGGAGAGGGAGAAGCAGGCTTCCCGCTGAGCAGGGAGCCCGATGCGGGGCTCGATCCCAGGACCCTGGGATCATGACCTGAGCCGAAGGCAGACGCTTAAGAATTGAGCCACCCAGGCGCCCCTCTTAATCTTTGATCTCAGTTTTTTTTACAACTAGTTAAGCAATTACAGGAGCATCAATTTGAAAATAAGAAGCTTACTATCTTACTTATTCAAAAGGCCAATGAGCTCCTTGTTGTTAAATTCAATGAAAAAATCTTTTAGCTCTTGGGGCATCTGGGTGGCTCGATCGGTTAAGCATCCCGACTCTTGATTTCGGCTAAGCTGGTGATCTCAGGGCGGTGAGACTGAGCCCCTTGTTGGGCTCTGTGCTGGGCATGGAGCCTGCTTAAGATTCTCTCTCTCCCTCTCCCCTTCTTCCTCCCCCCAGCTCTAAAAAAAAAAGAAAAATCTTGGGATGCCTGGGTGGCTCAGTCAGTTAAGCGTCTGCCTTTGGCTCAGGTCATGATCCTAAGGTCCTGGCACTGAGTCCCAAGTCGGGCTCCCTGCTCAGCGGGGAGCCTGCTTCTCCCTCTCCTCCCCACTTGTGCTGTTGCTCTCTCTCTCAAATAAATAAAACTTAAAAAAAAATCTTACAGCTTTTACTTACTTTACTTACTCAACTCTCATCAATACTTGACCCTACTGATTACTCTCCCCTTGAAATACTCTCTTCCTTTGGTTTCTCTAATACCACACTCAACTCCTACTTCTCTGACCTTCACAGTATTCTTTGGGAGCTTACATTCCTCCAGCAAACTTTTTTTTTATGTTAGAGGCCACTGTGATTCCCTTCAAGTTATATTCCCTCCCTTAGGCAATTCCACCTTAGTTTCGACTATCTATGTAAGTGACTCCAATTTTCTATTTCCAGCCCATACCTCTCCTCTGAAATTTAGAACCCTATTATCTAATTTCCATCTGAAAGTTCCAAAGGTATCTTAAATGCAATATGCCAGAATCAAAAGAACCTTGGTCCTTCTGTGGTATCACCATCAACCTAGCTGTTTCCCTGAGTTGATGGTTGAAATTTCTATGTCCCTCACTTTCCATCCATCAACAAAGGCCTGGTGATCTCAAATCCCATTTATTTTGCCCACCTCCACAATGCTCATCCTAATTCAAGCTATCCTCATCTCTTCTGGACTACTACTGCAAGTCTTAACTAATTTCCCTATACCCACTCTTGCTGCTTCTCCCTTTCAATACCCACTACCACAATCATAAGTCTGCTTTCTGGAACTACCAAAAATAAGTATAATTTGGCTTCTAAATGACAACTGTCTTACTTTTAAACAGTAAGACAGTTATACCACTTTACCCTTAGCTAAGTATTCTTAGTTCTGTCTATATCCTGATAAATCAGTTTCAAGATCACATTCTATCATACTCTCCTTTGAAAATGTCCCCTGAACTGAATATAAAGCATGGATAATAAGTAACTTAGCAGTTCATGCAAAAGACTGAGACTAGCACAGTTTAAAGTTTCAAACCACAATTAATATTTTAAATGTTTTAATGTTTCCAGCTGAAAGCAGGTTAATCTACTAAGTATTAAATATAAGCACCTACCATGTATCAGGCATTATTCAGGTATTTGGGGACAAAAAAATGACGCAAACTGACAAACCCTGTTCTCACAGAAATTCATTAAAGTAAAGAAGAAAGACTATTAACTTAAGATAGTAATTTATACAATATGTTAGAAAATGATAAAACGCAGGCGCCTGGGTGGCTCCGATGGTTGAGCGTCTGCCTTCGGCTCAGGTCATGATCCCAGGGTCCTGGGATCGAGTCCCGCATCGGGCTCCCTGCTCCTTGGGAGCCGGCTTCTCTCTCTGCCTCTCTCTCTCTCATGAATAAATAAATAAAAATCTTAAAAAAAAAAAAAATGATAAAACGCTATGGAGAAAATGTGGCTTAAAAAGTGGTAGGAAACGTGGGAGGAAGGTCTGCTATTTTATACAGAGTAGTCAGAGAAAACTTCAGTAGCAGAGTAGAAGTTGGTTGAACAGAGTAAGATAATCAAGTCAGAGAGGAAGAAGAGACTTAAAACACTCAGAGCCTGGTAAACGATAGACTTGGATTTTACTGACTGAGAACGGAAGCCATTTGAGAAGAGAAGTGACATGGTTTGACAAATTTCATCAGGATCACTCTGGCAGTTGAGTGTTAAAAACCATACAGGTAAGCAAAGGCCATAGTGAGACTTTTTAGGAAACTATTTTGCAAGTGAGAGATGATGGTACTGTTTTTACATTTTATAGTAAAACTTTATGTGCCTAAGTACTAGAATTAACAAAGCCACAACTTTAAAAAAAAGACAACAATGACAATGCAAAGATGAGTCTTGGGAATACTAAGAGAATACCAGGTATTTTAACTCTGAGCTCTACTGAGTGCTACTACCAGTTAGTACAATTCAGATGCAAGATAAGGTGCAAAGCTACTAATTTATTCTTTTGGACAAAAGGTATAACTAAGAATTTAGGTTTTAAGCTTCTTTATTTCACTGGGTAAGGTAAGTCAAGATCCAATGCACGTGACTAAAAGGCAAAGGTGGATGATGGCAGAGCTTGCTAAAGGGAAGTTACAATGAAAATTATTCTAAGGCTGACTCTTTTTATTACCTCTACATCTGCCACTCTCTTTGGTTAGGTTTTACAACCATTTCTCACTGCTGTACCTAAAAAGTTCAGTATAAAGTCGATGAGTAGTAAATACTGTACTCTCCTACTATTAGAACATGCTACTGATGGTGAGTCAACATCAGTCAACTGCACTGTTTCCTCCTATCCCTAATTAACAGCACAGCTTTTCAGGAAAATTGCCTAAGCCAGGCTAGTGCCCAAAAAATAATGAGGAAGCTGGGTGATCCCTGACGAGTTTCAATCTTAACTCATGGACCCCACTACCACCACCTAAAGACATACCCAAAAAAATCACTCTTAAAATTTTCTCCACTACACATTTCAGAAGGCAGCATATTTATGAACAATTTTCTATTTTCCTATCCAGTTTTATTCCCCCTTGACTTACTGAAGAATGCTTTTAGAGTGTGAGTACACCAGGAGTAAGCAAACATCCAAATCTTACCCTACCAAAATCTTAAAATGTACTCAAAATCTTTATTTTAATGTACTCAAATTCTCAGGCAAAAAGGTCATCATCTGAATGTAAAACTGAATTACTATTAATATACTTGCAAGCACCAAAAAATGTAATGAAAAAGTGCAGCTACAGTAAGAATAATTTTAAAAACTCATACTGCATAAAGTAAATTTAGATTATCTTTAAGAGTATAAAACAAAAGAAATCCAAAGACAATTTCAAATTTTCATCTGCCCAATAAATTAAAGCAACAAAAATAAAAATTCCACAAACTTTTTACTGTAGCTCTTAACCAACAGCAAAAAAGTGGGACGATTAAGCCAACAGCCAAAGAAACAGGAAAGAGAAAGCAATGGTCTAGAAAGAGATTTGATTCTTATCAAAATTTTTAATACAATTACCAATAAAACACAAAAACTACCAGTTATTTAATAACGTTTTGCCTTCAATATTCTGCTGAAGTATGCAGTCATATGCTTGAATTAATTTTTAAAATGAAAAATGCATCTATTAATATGCTTTTTCCGAAATTCGGTCAAAATTCCGGAACTGGAAAATTTAAGATCAGCGTCCAATAGCCAAACATTAAAAACTTTTGGATCAGTTTTGCTTAAAAATCTTAGGTCACTGGTAGTATGATAAAGATGTTAGAAGCAATCCAAAATTAATGATAATCGCTCAACTCGTAGACGCTGTAAGAAGTCCACTACAGAAATATGTTGGGGGTATTTTACAATTCAACATTTGAATCTGTGAGTATTTTAATCAACTACTTAAACCGGGCATTTACTTTTAAAACAATTTTTCCAAAACATGTGTGGATAGCAAGACGGCCAGCAATCTCTAAGAAATGTCTGTAATGGTTCAAAATTCCTAGGTGTGAGGAGGCGCGACTCATTAAGCTAAGTTTAGATCCGGTCCTTTTGTTGTCAGCCCAGGAAACGGGTTTTAAAAACTGGGGGTGGGAGAAGAGTTTGAAATTCAGGACGAGGTAAACGCTGATGCCTAGCAGCGCCGGCTCTTCCCTATTCGCGCACTGAGAGGTCACGGCGTAGTAAAGTTTGGTTTCACGAGCGGGCTTGGACACTATTGACAAAAGCAAAGTCTACTAAGTAAAGCGAACTCGGGGGTCGGGGAGCGCCCGGAAGCCCAGCAAGACACGTTTCCACTGCAGGGAGGGGGTGTATGTGTGCCGACTCGGTCGTGGAGCCTCTTGCCTCAACCCGTCCCCCCCCCCCAACCGGACCCCTCACCCAGGCGGGGACAGGCTCCGCCGGCAGAAGCGGCGGGAGCCGGGTAGGCCACAAGGAGGAAATGGGACGGGGTGTCGACAGAGAGGCGGCGGCGGCCGGAGCGGGGCCTCCCTCGCGGGGTAGCGAGAAGAGGGGCCCTCCCCGCCGCAGCTTCCCCCGCCTTGAGAGGCAGCTCCAACTTTCCTCCAAGCGCAGGACGCCGTCTGGGCCGCGCGCGATTCCGAAACTTTGTCCGCCCTCCCGTCGCCCCCGGCCGGCTCCTCCGCTCCGCGCCAGCCCGTAACAGCCCCCACTTCGCCCCGACAGCTGCCGGAGTCCATCCGCCCCCGGGGTCGGCCCGTGTTTACCTCAGGCCGAGGTCGAGGCGCTTGCTCCAGCGGCGGCGGCACCACTGCAGGTCCCTAGGTCCCCGTCACGACGCCAAGTTCCCCAACATGGACTCCTTAGTCCGCTTTGAGTTGTTCCGGAGGTCGCTAGGGCGCCGGCTCTACCCGCCGAGTCGGGAGGTGGCGGCGGAGCAGAGAGCGGACCCGGGCTGCGCTGCTCCGCGCGACTTGCGCCACCGCTTCTCCCCCTCCCCCCGCCTTGTCTGGCCTCCTCCCTCCCCTCGCGTGCCCTCCCCTTTCCCCCCCTCCGCTCCGCTCAGCCGCGCCGCCACATGTCGGCGCGCTACGGTGACGACGGCGGCGCGGGCGGCAGAATCCGCCGCACTCTCCCTACTCGCTTGCTGGGCCCTGCGCGCACCGCTGCAACGCTCAACCGGACCACGGGGGGGCGCTGGCAAACCACCCTTAGCGACCTAGGAACGTGGCGGGCGGAGTGACGTCACGCGGCCTGTGAGCGGGAGGGAGAACGGCAGCGGGCTTCTGGGAAACGTCTTCCGCGGGCTGTCATCCTCCCACCCTGCGGATTGTGCGCAGGCGCCGTGCGTGAGGCGCTCGAGTTGGCGCTACGCTGGCCAAGGAGCCGCTTAGCTGCCGCGGACAATGAAGGAGGCCTTTGGGGACCTGGACGTGAGGTGGTCTGCGTGGCATTTGCTACACTATCTTTATGGTAATCCGATATTGAAGAGTGTTCTTAGGCTGTTTGGCGGTGGATTGAGTTTTCGCCCAGCACCCACCGTTGCCCGGCTGAAATACACCTTACCGGGAGGTTGAAGTGTCCTTAACTTGAAAGCCCACCTCTTTCTTTTGTCCTGGCGGCATTTAAAAAGTGCTTAGGGGAGAGGTTTTCCCTGTGGTACATCGAGTCTACGCATTTCCCCATGTCTTAATTCCCACAACAAAAAAATTAAACTTGATTATGATTAACTTAGAGGACTTCCACTCTGTGGTCAGGCAGCGGCGTGATTTTTCGATAATTTGTCGGGACCTGCGACGTGGAACCTGTGTGCCTTGTTTATTCCCCGTCGGGTCGTTAGATCTTTTGTTTTACTTCAGAAACACCTTCACAGGCTGCTTTTTCAAAGTCACTGACTCTTCAACCTCATAGTTTCTCTTCCGGGCAATTTCGGCACGCTCCTGACTGCTCCTCCCGCACCGGCGTCCACCCCCTCTTCTTCCAGGTGGTCCTTTCAGTCCCCCGCGCACCCCGGGGTCCTGCTGACAGCCCCCGCGGGAGGAAGCTCAGGCCCCGGGCCTCCCCGGGCCGCCCCGCCGACGCGGCTTACCCCAGGTCTCAGTCTCAGCCAGCCGTGCGGCTCGCACCTTCCCTGCCGTCTGCCCCATCCCCCTTCTGTGCACGCTGCGCCCCCCTAACCACGACTTGCCCAGAATGACTCTCCTCCCCACCTTTTTGAGACCCCGCCGGCAGGCCACCTCTCTGCCGCCCTCGCCCAGACTAGGCTGGTTGCCATGTCCCCTGCTCCCCGGACTGTGAGGTCGCTTCTATGGCACCCTCATCCTGTGCGTCCAGTTTGGTCCGCTCCGTGTCTGCCTCACACTGTGAGCTCTGGGACAGTGTCTCCCAACAGCTCCTGGCACAGTGCCTGTCACTCAGTGAGAACTTGGTCAATAATTGCTGGAGGAATATATGAATGGCAGCCTTGTCCCGATCTCAAAGTCTTTGGAGTTTTACAATGTATAGTTTTTGATACGAGGTTTGGGGATTTAGATGGGCTTTTCTGTGTTTGGAAAGTTTGAAGGAATGATGATCTAGAGGAGTTAAAATGGTTTTTTTCTAATGGAAGAACAAAAATTTTTATGGACGGCCTTTCCCTGTCACTATCAGAGCAAACAGAATTCCGTAAAATAACCAGGTCAACAAGCACGATGATGAGCCATCCAACAGAATAAGGGTGTAGCTTTTTCATGTATACATGCACATCTTCACCCTAGAGAATGCGACCTCTGGGAATGTAATTTCAGGTGGAGACTAGTGGGGCAACATTCTTCTGTGGATATTTTACATGATAATCTTTATTTATTTCTCAAGAAAGTATTACTTCTTAAATTTTAATTAAAGGTCAAATGACAATATCTGCCAATAGAAAACTATAATTGAAAAAAAGGCAATAACAGTATACCATTTCAGCAAAACTAAACGATATAAATCCTTTTTCCCCCCTGGGGCCATTTCCCCTTTATCATTTTATTTTATTTTGTTTTCATCATGATAAATGTAGTCTTTAATCCCTACCCACCTGCCCTTTGGTAACAATCAGTTCTCTATAATTAAGAGTCTGTTTCTTGGTTTGTCTCTCTTTTATTTTCTCTCTGCTCTTTTGTTTTCTTAAATGCCACATATGAGTGAGATCATATGTTATTTGTCTTTCTCTGACTTATTTCACTTAGTTTTATACTCTCTAGCTCTATTCATGTTGCAAATGGCAAAATTTCATTCTTTTTATGGCTAGATAATATTCCATTGTATATATGGACCACGTTTTCTTTATCCATTCATCTGTCGGTGGACACTTGGGTTGCTTCCATAGTCTGGCTATTGTAAATAATGCTGCAATAAACATAAGGGTGCATGTATTCCTTTGAATTAGTGTTTTTATATTTTTTGGGTGAATACCCAGTAGTGTGATTACTGGATCATAGGGTAATTCTATTTTTAATTTTTTGAGGAACCTCTATACTGAACAATAAGAATTTTTGGATATATTTATTCTCTGGCAGATAATTTTCCACTAGGTATTATGTGAGAATATTTCAAGAGAAAAATGCTTTTGATGCTAATGTGCTAGTGGTTTCTACTTTCATGTGGTTTGTAATAGGCCATCTCTTGCCTCCCCAGGGAAAAGACTGTGTATTTCTGTACCTGCAGCATCCTCCTAGTTAATGCTTGCATGTGAGGATTTGTTACTCTTTCTGTGGTTTCAGTATTTTTTATTTACAATGTAATAAAGAGATACAGAGGTTTAAATGATGAACTATAAAATGCAGGAGTAAAGATTGATATATCAACCATCACTGTCAACATTTAAGATTTGATTATAACCATAAATAACACAAATGATACGCATCATAAAGCAACCTTCAACTGAATGCCCAATTGGCTTATTGTACTTTACACAGCACTTAAACTATCAAACATGTCACACAGCAACAGAAACCCATACTGGCATCTTTAAAAAAAAAAAAAAAAAAGAAGGGTAATCAGTATGTTGATTTTGAGAAAGCTTTACCAGAGATAACTGCTATTATTAATTTAACTACTATAAGTTGAATACAAAATAACATTGAAATTAAGAGGTGGAATCACTGTGTAAAGGCACTGAATTGAGTTGGAAATATGACTCTCATATGGATGATACCCTTGCAGCTTTGAACAAATTGCCTAATTTTTCTGGTCCTCAGTTTTCATATCCATTACAGTGGAAAATTGTATTTTAATGATCTCTGTGGCATTTTTATAACAGGAATGTATGAATTCCACGGGTAGTACAGTTTAAGACTCTTACAAGCAAAATATGACCAAATATATAGTATCTTGGTAAGGAATGAAAAATACATGCTATAGGGAAAAGTTAGTTTACAGGAATTTAAAAAAAAAAAAATGCTGGTTTCTCTCTGTTTTCACAACTGTGCAGAATTTTAATCAAGATGATACTGATTATTACCCAATCATTTTCTATGTGGAATTAAATTTACTTCAGCACCAATCAGTTGGGTGTCTACTATTTGGGAGGTGCTGTGAGATGGTTATAGATGAATGAACAGAGTCTCAGAGACAGTTTAGTGGGTACAGATAAGTACAAAAACAAACTAAGGAAGAATATAAGTGTCATAAAAGGAATAAAAGCAAAAGTGCTGGTTGGGAAAGGGGGTGTCAAATGAGGGAGAGAATACAAAAAGGACCAAGGACAATTTCATAAAAGGACAAATCTGAACAAAATATATTCAGATATTATTCCATATTAAAAGCTCCAGTTTCTCTAAGGTTGGTTTCCCATCCCCCACAGCACCTCTTACCATTTTTTTTTACCACTCCCCTCAAGTCTCAACCTCACAATTACTCCTGCAGAGCCCCTCAACCCTGACCCAGCAAAAGATCTCGCCACAGTCTTTAACTTTCTTACCTTCTTTCCCTATACCTGCAGTCTATCTATAACTGTCTATATCCACACACACTTGTTGTCCTCTACCACAGAGGAAACACCTCTTGCTTAATGCTTACTTAGCTCTTTCTACTTGTGCTGTAGATCTGTTTTTTCCGGACTTCGGGATTTACAAACCATTAGCATTTCTTTCTTTTTTTTTTTTTTTTTAAAGATTTTATTTATTTATTTGAGACAGAGAGAATGAGAGACAGAGAGCATGAGAGGGAGGAGGGTCAGAGGGAGAAGCAGACCCCCTGCCGAGCAGGGAGCCCGATGCGGGACTCGATCCCGGGACTCCAGGATCATGACCCGAGCCGAAGGCAGTCGCTTAACCAACTGAGCCACCCAGGTGCCCCAAACCATTAGTATTTCTAACAGTTTAGGAACTGACATAGGTAGGGCTGCTAACTTTTTCTTTTTTTTAAGATTTTATTTATTTATTTGAGAGAGAGAGAGATAGACAGCGAGAGAGGGAACACAAGTAGGAGGATTGGGAGAGGGAGAAGCAGGCTCCCCGCTAAGCAGGGAGGCCGATGTGGGACTTGATCCCAAGACCCTGGGATCATGACCTGAGCCAAAGGCAGACACTTAACGACTGAGCCATCTAGGCGCCTGGGCTGCTAACTTTTTAATCTTGACAAATAATGGTATACATTTTTAAAGTCTTCCCATCTCTTATAACCCTCAATTCCTTTTTAAAAATGCACTTACAACATTAAAGAACTAAATTTTTATGAACTATGCTGTTTATTTGCATTTCCCTCTGGAACAGTGAAGCCATCGCAGCCCTGGTACTTTCGGGACTCTGCTCTGAAATGGATCCTCTCTATTCCCTCAGGGCCCACCTATGGGTTACTCTGTCTCCAATATTTTCAATCTCTGCTTTACTGGGGATTAATTTATCTTTCTTCTCTCCAAATCTAAAAATAGTTTATATCTAAGACTACTTCCTCATTTCACTTTCTACTCACTTGTTTAAAAGGTAATAAACATTCATTTTAACAATTCAGACAACACAGAAGTATAACAAAGTATATTTCAGAAGCAAATAAAGAAAAAGATAGTTTTCCTCTCCCTATTCCAATCCTAGATAAAATCAAGGCTGAAAGGTTAATGTT